CTGTGTCTCCCCTGTGTCTCCCCTGTGCCTCCCCTGTGTCTCCCCTGCTGCCTCCCCTGTGCCTCCCCTGTGCCTCCCCTGTGCCTCCCTGCTGCCTCCCCTGTGCCTCCCCCGTGCCTCCCCTGTGCCTCCCTGTGCCTCCCCTGTGCCTCCCTGCTGCCTCCCCTGTGCCTCCCCTGTGCCTCCCTGCTGCCTCCCCTGTGCCTCCCCTGTGCCTCCCTGTGCCTCCCTGTGCCTCCCCCATGCCTCCCTGTGCCTCCCCCGTGCCTCCTCTCACCTCCCTGCTTCAGCTGCCTTTTTCCCTTGAACTGAAATGTCCTCTCAGGCAGAACGATTCAAATAAGACGCAGTGTTTGCGTGGGCTTTAGAGCTTGTCCTTTCGCACGTCGGCCCCTCGTTGGAAGCTGCCTGCTTGTATTGGATGCAAATGGGGAATTAGAAGAGGGAATAGAAACATGAGATGGCGTGACACGGGGAGGCTGAGGAGAGAAAGGGCGCAAAGGATAGAGAGGGAGGCTTAATGCGAGAAGAGAATGCAAATGCTGTTGAAACAGAGCTGGACGGACGGCTGGATTAGGGAAGAAAGAAAAGACGAGAGTCAGGTGTTGGTGTGAGTGTTTTTTGGCAGGGTCAGAGTTTTTCTCTGGACGATGGTGACCGAGCTGGATTTGCATTGATGGATCTTCTTTCCATGGAGATGTCATGTATCGGTGCTTGGGTACATCACGCCCCAGTCATTAATCAAATCGCGGCCTTCGTCTAGAGACGTCCGTCTGTTTCTCAGCTGCCTCCCTCGCTCTTTGTTTGCACAGTCGCTCTGTTTGTCAGGTGGCTGTCTCTTTTTACAATTGTTCTAAATTACAAAAAGGTTTCTGAAGAACGTTCCTACAAAATGACATTTCATCCTCTTGGTCCGTTAAATAGGAAGCTCCTGAGTTTTCCAGAGTCTGCAGAGACTGTGTGTTGGCTTCACGCTCAGCTACCAATAAAGCAGATCTCAGATCAATATGGCAACAAATCAATGACTTATAGTCAGTCTTTCTTTTAAGCTGTGGTGGCCATCTTGGATTTTTGATTTGGATTCAGTATGTGATGGGGAATGTTCTCAGCTATAACTGCATCAAATTTAAGCTGTTTATGTGTAAAACAATAATAATAATAATAATAATAATAATAATGTAAAATAAATAGCTGACTTAAAGCCATTAAATGTAGCTTTGGCAGCCAACTTGAAATTTGTATGTGTTTCGACAGGCGTTTTGAATGAGAAAAAAACAGCGTCTTTGCAAATTACGTCGCCATGGTAACTGGAAATACCAATAAAAGTAAGAGCACACATGACGGCGCCGATCCGCTCAGTTTGATATAACGTTTGTGGGGGGGCACGTTGTGATTCGGGCCGTGTTAAAGTTGACAGCAGAGTAAGATGTAAAGTTAAGAAACCCTGGTCAGGTGGATAATAAGAGGTGCTGCCTGACTTTGGAGTTGCACCTTTCATCCAACCTTTATTTCTACAGGTTGGTCCCTCTGAGCCTCCGGGACTCATTTATGAGACCTGATTTTAACAAAGAGTGATGACAACAGTGGACAGTCATAAAAGAAAACATACAAAATGAGAAGAAGAAATGAAAGAAAATGGTTTTAACAAACAAAACAAAACCAGCTAGGTGTAGGGCCGTGTAGAAAAGTCAAAACAGGAACACGTCTGCGTGGGTTTTAAACTTGAAGACACTTAGAGAGGTCAAAGGTCGAGAGCTTCAGGTCTTTTTACAAGATATTCCAGGAAACAGGAGCGGAGGAGGAGAAGGTCCTTTTGTCTAGTTCAGTCCTCACTGAGGGAACACTGCAGGTAATGATGTCCTGAGAGCGCACGCTGTAGCTGCACTCACACAGAGACATGTAGGAGGAGATGTATGAAGGCAGCAGACCAGGAAGTGATTTAAAGATGAAAATGTACCAGTGGGAGAGTCTGTGTGAAGTTAATGGTGACCAGTTAACCAGTGAATACTGGGTGCAGTGGCTGATGGAAATAACTGGTGGTGAGAAAACGTTTAAATATTATTATTATTATTATTATTATTGTTGTTGTTGTTGTTGCTGTTGTTGTTGTGCTCTGTGTTTTGTTTTTGTTTCTTTGTCTGAATTTGAAAACAAACCACGTGTCAGTGAAAACATGTTGCTGCAGTTTATTAAATATTAAATGAAACTCAAAGTGTGCATGCAATAAAGTGAAAGTCACGGCGTGTCTGCCCACGTTGATCGTGAGTCTTCCTCCGTCTTTGTGGCAGCATTAGACCGGGCTCCGGCCTCATTTCCCTCATGCTTGTTTAGCATAAGTAGATGTTGGCACACCCTTAATCGCTCGTTTGCATAAGTGTAAAAACAAAGTGTGCAGCGTCCACAGCTTCTTCTGAGGTTCAGCACAGCTCAGCCACTTCTCACTTTTCACCTCCTCTACTTCATCGACCTCTTAGTCAAACTGAACCCACGCACCTATTATTATCATCATTATCATACTACTACCAACAATAATAATACTAATAGTTTTAATGAATCAACAAGTGCAAGTTAGCAGCCCTTTTTCTTAAGTTACTTGATTTGCAGCAGCAGGAAGAGCAATACATTTTTTACATTTATAATTTTTTTATGATTTTTTTGTCTTGCAGCCCAACCAAACATTTTTAAATGCAAAGCTAAGAGAGGATGAGAAAATGGACATGTATAAAGAAGCATAGAATAGAAAGGTGTTTTATTAGAGGTGCTTGAACTGACGGTGCATTCGTTTCATAAAGACAACACACACGAGTGCCGACACTAAAGAAGTGTACAGACGTGTGGTCAGGAGGGTCCAGGTGAGGCGGTGGAAGCAGACTCAGTCTTCCTGTAAGTGACAAACATGTTGCACTACAGGAATATTGCACTTTAACGGGTGCTTAGAGTCCTCATGGTCCATGGGAAGTAGCTGTTTCTGAGTCTGTGCAGCTCTTGATGCTCCTGCACCTTCTGCTGGAGGGCAGCAGGCTGAGTAGCTGGTGCCCAGGATGGAGGGGGTCTTTGAGGATCCTCTTTGCCTTGGAGACGCACCAGGAACTGACAATATCACGAGTGGATGTGAAAGGACAGCCAGTTATTCTCCCAGCGGTCCCTCTGCGGCCTCTCCGTGTCAGCGGTGGTGGAGCCAGCGTCCCTCACTGCACTGATGTTCACCAGCGCGCTCTTTATGGTGGAGCGTTCCAAGGTGACCAGCAGCTCAAGCACAGGATTAGTTTCACCTAGGGACCACCTGCTATTTGTAATAATCACAGAGATCGTGTTGTTAATCCCGTGTGAATCGGCCATGTCCGTAATTTGTAAAGTAAAAATTCCACCGCACATTACCTACTATAGTTTGAACTCCGAGGTCCTGTGATAATACTAATCCAACGTGAACAGGCATCTCTGTGATTTGGACAGAAATGGGCGGGATCCGATTTATAACGAGGCCTTTTTTTGTTTTTTTGTTGTTTTTTAAGCAAAATCATTAAAAAAAACTTTGAACAAGTTGTTTCAAATGAACACGCTGCTCCCTTCAGCTTTTATGTTGATACTTCCTTCACCACAGACGACAGCACGTGTGGAGACGTGCGCGTGATCAGCTAATCCATCCATCCATCATCCATCCATCATCCATCCATCCATCATACATCCATCCATCATCCAGCCATCCATCCATCATCCATCCATCATACATCCATCATTCATCCATCCATCCATCCATCATCCATCCATCATCCATCCATCATCCATCCATCTATCCACCCATCCATCCATCCATCCATCCATCCATCTATCCACCCATCCATCCAT